TATGTTTGGTTTTTTTTTTAGAACTGGGGATTGAACTCAGGACCTTGCGCTTGCCAGGCAAGTGCTTATTCTGCTGAGCTATCTCCCCAGCCCCTGAAAGATATTTTTAAATTTATTTCAGATGGGAGGCTCTTGTGATGTGCAAATATTTTTCTTTTTTTGTGGTACCAGGGATCGAACTTGGGACCTTGCACTTGCCAGGCATGCACTTACGCCACTGAGCTATATCCCTAGCCCTGCAAATATTTTCTCCATTGCGGGGGTTACCTCTTCATTCATTCTCTCCATAGTGTCCTTTGAGTCACAAGGGCTTTTGTTTGTTTTGCTTTTGTATTTTTTTGCACTGAGCTGCAACCACCATCCTTTTCATTTATTTATTCTTACTTTGACACATGGTTTTGCTAAACTTCCCAGCCTGGCCTCCTCCTGCCTTAGCCTCCTGAGTCATGGGAATCATGAGCAGGCATTACTATACCTGACCCCCAAATACCTAATTTTGATGAAGTTCAATTATCTGTGTAGCTGTTCCTTGACTTATAATTGGAATGTGGTCTGATCAACCCATTATAAATTGAAGTTCAAGTTTTTCTTTTCTTTTTGGTACTGGGGATCAAACTCAGGACCTTGCACTTACCAAGCAGACACTTATGCCACTGAGCTATCTCCCCAGCTCCAATAAACTGAAAATATTGTAAGATAACACTACAGTTAAAAGCCAGGCATAGTGGTACATACCTGTAATCCCACCACTCTGACTGAAAATTTGAACCAAGCCCAGACAATTTAGCAACTTAGCAAGACCCTGTCTCAAAATTTTAAAAAAGGGCTAAGGATGCAGTTCAGTTTAAAAGCCCTGAATTCAACCCCCTAGTACTACACACACACACACACACACACACACACACACACAAAGCACTTAACATACTTAATCTACTAATCATTTCAGTTCTGCCTGACCTACCTTACACATGCTTAGAACACTCACACCATGTCACGGGTGGGCAAAATCATCCATCGTGAACAGTATCTTATAAAAGTATTGAGTGTCTCAAACAATTTAATACTGTACTGAAAGTGACAGTGCCTTTAGTGTCATAGCTGAGAAACCACTGCCAACTCCAAGGACAAGACGTAGCACCAGTACTTTTTGCAGCCTATCAGCTGATCCCAATGTGACAACCACCAGTGAAGGAGACTGAAGCTCAGGTAGAGATGCCAGCCAAGCTTAGGGGGCAGAGGGGAGAAGACCAGGGACTGGTGAGGCCTCAGAGGAGACATTCCTAGTCAGAGTTCACAGCTCTGGGCACTCCCACAGTAGCAATGAAGTGTCCCCAGCTTGAATGATTGGTCACCTTCCTATGGCCTTATGGCTGGATCATAGCCAGGACTTTCCCACATTCTTTGGCCCGAGGACCCCAAAGTATGGTTCTCAGAACTGCAGTGTCCCAGCTTCTGAGGACACCTCCGCTCAGTTCCCTGGCTGCCTCCACAGGTACCGCTGCAGCACTGGGGACTCCTGTGGGCTTGGGAACTGACAAGGGCCGGCACCCTGTTGAGGCCAGACAGCCTGTCTCCCTCACAACTACTCTGTGCCCTGCTGCCCCAGGTCACCTGAGGAGGCTTGAGGAGCTGCCAGAGTGTGACCGGTCACTCTCTCGGCCTGCGACGATGGCCTTCCATGTCTTCCCACTGAGTTCACTGGGTGTGACACCCTGTCGGAAGTACACAGCTCGCTCCTCAGAGCCGATGCCCCAGACCTGGATCAGAGAGAGGTGCTGCTCAGGAAAAGCTGGTGCACACCTGGGGCTCCTGAGTGTTACTGGGGGTACAGGAGGAGCACAGGCAGCCGGCAGGGCTGAAGGCTAACTGCAAACCCAGGAGGAGCGCCCCTATGCCATGCAGTGGGGTATAGGCGTGTGTGCCGAGAGAAGTCAGTGCCTCAGAAACAGGGACTCAGGCCTGGCTTCTGATGCCAGGCAACTCAGGGCAAGGTTTAGAGGATGAAGTGGGTGGGTGGACAGTGCACTGGGCTATAAGGTCCACATGTGGCCCTGTCTTGCCAGTGGGTTCTGGTGGGAAGCTATTCCCCGAAGGAACATCTACGCTCCAGGCACAGAGCACCGGGGATGTCACCATCATAGCAAGGGGCTGTGCCCTTCAAGACTGGACAGGATCCAAACCCCAATATTCAGTTCAGGACACTGAGGCAGCCACAACAGTGCAACTGCAGACACTCATGAAACAGGACTTCCAGAGCGCCTTTACAAAGCAGCAAGGACAATTAGGCTAAGTGTATTCTAATTGAGGGGGAGTACTTTGAGGGGCTTAAGGGCAACGTGTCTTTTACTGTAATAAATTTTTAAATTTAAATATACATGATATCTTTAGACAGGGTCTCATTATGTAGTTCAGGCTGGCGGGCTCAAATGTAGCCTAGGCTGGCCTTGAACTCACAGCAATCCTCCTGTCTCAGCCTCCCAAGTGCTGGGATTGCAGGTGTGCACCACCATACCTGGTGCTACCTGGTAGTTTCTGATCATGATTCGCACGTCTCTGACACCTTCCAGTCTGCAGGTATGGTCCCTCCCCCCAGCAGACCTGTATTCACTATTCTGAGTTAGTTCCCTTAGGAAAACACCCAGGGAGAAGTGGAGACCACAGACCCTGGCAGGAGCAGTTGGCTGGGTGCTCTCAAAGTCAGGGACCCCCTGCCACTGGGAAGGGACAGCAGATGCCGAGTGGACACACTGCACTGGGAGCCCTGGGACCACACGCCCACCTGGTCATTTAGCCCCACGTTCACCATCGTCATCTCCCCAACCATCTCGATCCAGCTAGTGCCACACGGATTGTGCGAGTTCACGCCTCTTCGGAACCACACCTGGAAAAACCAGAAAAGAACACATTGCCCTGGAGGCCACAGAGACAGGGCTTTTTTCTTCTTCTTCTTCTTCCTTTTTAATGATTGTCTGCTACACTGAGGATAAAACTCTAGAGCCTTCACACTGAGCTACATCCCCAGTCCTTTATTTTATGTTTCTATTTTGAGACAGGATCTTGCTAAGCCCCTAACCTGCCCAGACTGGGTCTGAATTTGCAACCCTCCTGCCTCAGCCTCCCAGAGGGGTGGGATTACAAGTGGGCATCGCCATGCCCAGCTAATAGGTGGCTTTCTTGGGGATCAGAAAGAACAAATGAATAATAATACGCAGCTCACCCTGGAAGTGGGCAGGGCTGTACATGCCCATTTTCTCACATCCCTACCTGTGCCCCAGATGAGTCACTTGCCCTCAGCCGTGTCTGTCCCTAACCCCATAGGTGGAAAAGACCAGTTTCTTTATTCTTGTTGTTCTCTCTGTGAGACAACAGCCTTAGTGTGGTTCTCTAGGAAAACTATGAATTCATTATTAGAATAAATGACCTGTTTGGGCTCTATAATGTGTCACAGAATTCTCTGCTATGTCAATTTGTAAGACTACACACCAGCCAACTAAATTTTCCCCAGGCCTGCCTGTGGCCACAAGGCTCACCTGCTGGTCCTGCCTGGCTCCCTCCTGTCCCCCCAAGGCTGTTTCTACTCATTTTGGAGGGTGGGCTGCACTGGGCCCCCTGAGATGCTGGTGAATCACTCATGCTGAATATCTAAGGTGTGCTGCATGAGGGGTCAGTTACAAGAGAAAACACTCAGATCTCTTATATACATTTCTAGAAAGCTGAGCATTATGGTATCGTGCACCTGGAGTCCCAGCTACTCAGGAGGCTGAGGCAAGAGGATTGCTTACGCCTGGGAAGGTAAGACCATCCTGAACAACACTAGGCCTCATCTCAAAAAAAAGTCTACAGCGTCTCCTACACCCAAAGTGAACACATCAAATATTTGAAAACTGAGCAAACATACACGCAAATCAAACTTTTACTTATTTAAGCTTAAGGGACAGACATATTATTATAAGAGGGGCTTGGCAGTCACTGGCCCTGGGAAGTGGGGTTCCTGGGACACACTGGGGGGACAATGCGATCTATAGCTTGTCAGGCTGGATGTAGCCTGAGGCTTTGGGGCCATGGGCGCTGGTGGCACAGACTCAGATGTGCGGGCATCCCTTCGGGGGTGCCAGGGAACTCCCTGACATGAGATTAGAGGCAAATCAGGAGAGCAGCCTGGAATTGGTTAATCCTATTGGATCTGCTTCTGAAGATACAGCAATGCAAAGCGCGGCTTACTCTGGAAGGCTGAGGCAGGAAGATCCCAAGTTCAAGCCCAGTCTGGACAATTTAGCAAAACTTTATCCCAAAATTTATTTTTTTAAAGTATTGTTTTAATATTCATTTATTTTTATTTATTACATTTATTTATTGTGTGTGTGTGGCCAGCTCAGCCCACCAGGGGGCGGGTCTGGCTGGCATGTGGTGTTGGGGATCGAACCGCGGTCCCTGTGCTTTGCCAAGCTTGTTTCAAGTAGGTGCTTTAGACCACTGAGCCATCTCTCCAGCCCCTATCCCAAAATTTAAAAAAAAGTTTTTTTTAAAAAAGTTACAACAGAGATAGGAGTGTAGTTCAGTGTGGAACTTCTGGGTTCAATCACTAGCAACACACACACACACACACACACACACACACACACACACACACAGTTAAACGTAAGCTCTGGATAGGAAAAAGGAGAGGCATTTAATTGAGAGTCTCAGCAAATTAGCATCTGATTACCTGAAATGTCTGGCCTAGCACAGCTGCTCCGCAATTTGGTACTTGGGTGTGAGGCAGGAGAGAACCCAGGGCACCAAATGTCCTGGATATGGGTGCTGATTGCAATAGCCCATAAGCTCATGGTGCTTGGTGGGTGCCAGATTTACTAAAAATGTGTTCACACAACTCTCACGAGAACAGAACATTAAGTGGCAGCCCAGAGCCACCCCCAGGCCTCACATCCGCATCTTACCTTCCGGTCCTTGGTGACAGCCCAGACCACGCTCACTCCAGCAGAGACGTGCATGATCCCGTTCTCAGACCCCGGAGGCTCCACTATAGACCACGAACTACCTGGCAGCCCCCCAAACCCCAGGAAGCTCCATCAGCCAAGATGCTGGGGGGTGGCTTCACACCTCCCCCAGGACAGGATCACCCACCTTTGGGGTTGTTCCTGTTGATTCCTTCCCGGACCAAGGCCTGCCCCTCCCAGAGGGTGACCCACAGGAGGTCGTGGGGTCCACAGCTGATTTGGACAGCTTCCCCAGGTGTGTCCACCAGAGACCAGGATGAACCTTCTGGGTTGGAGTGGCTGACGTCCTCCCTGTACCATACCTTGGAACCAAAAGAAGGGTGTGACACCTTTGTGGCCTACTGGAACATCTGCACAGCTGTGCATGGGGGGGTGTCCTCTGGGTAACCCAGTGTGCAGATCACTCCCAGCCCTCATCTGTCCCATTTGCCTGGGGCTACAAGGACCCCATCCACTGGACCAGCAGGTGCAATTCCAGTCTCCTGCAGAGGTTCCCAGGGCGCCCGTGTGTCCTGCTCCCCCTAGTGGTGAGGGGTCTATAGGACACCCATCTCTAAGGGCGGAGTGGTGGGGGTGGGGCAGGAAAACCCCGAGCTACATTCATACCAACGTCAAACATGTCCACTTCTCTCGCTTTTTAACCTGCATATCTAAGACTGCGCCATGCTCTCAAATCATCCAGGCTCTGGCTCATTTCATCAGGAAGAGGCTGCCCAGTCCAGGCAGGGCTGGTGACCCACTCGAGAATCTTCAGACTGGGAGTCCCGGCACCCTATTCTGCCAACCCACCGCTGCCATGGGCCTGGTCAGGCCTGGAAGCCTCTTTCCTGGTATCAGGAAGCTTCATGATACACTGTCTCCTTGGACCCTGGTGGCCTTTTATGGACCGCAGGAGTGGTGCTGGCACTCGGAGAAGACAACACTACTGGGGCCTGTGCTCCCCTCTGCATCCAGGTGCACAAGGCTCCTTGACAGGGGACTCGGTCCTGGGCCAGCTCCCTTAGCCTGCTGGCCCCTGCTGCCACCCCTCAGCATGGCACAGAGGGAGCAGCTGTGGTTAACCTGAGCCCAAGCTGGGCGGGGCCCTGGAAGTGAGCCTGCTAAAAATAACCTGCCACAACAAGCTTGAAACCCACAGCAGACTTGTGGTCGATTGCTGGTAGGAGCTACCGAGCAATTGAAAAGCAAGGTTGGGTCCCCTGAGCTGCTGCTGCTGCCACCAGGCATAGTTTCATTCCTTTTTAAAGAGTTCACAGAGAAAAGGATCTTTTCTCTCTAAACATCCACACACACCATCCATCCATCCACATGCTCAACACTTGTCTATCTCTCTACCCACATAACCATCTTACCTATGCACCATCCATGCATAAAGCCACCACCCACCATCCACCCACCCACACACCCAACACCTGGCTATCTATCCACCCACACATCCATCTGCCTACCCATGTCCATGCATACACCCACCATCCATCCATCCATCCATCCATCCACACACGTAACACCTATCCATCTAACACCCCTACCCATCCATCCGTCCACACACCATCCATCTGCCTATATATCCATCACCTATTCATCCATCCATGCAGCAACCATCCCCCCACACGCCCATCTGTCCAACACACCCCTCCCAACCATCTACCCATCCACCACCTGTCTAACTGCTCCCCACCCCGAACCCTTGCACAATGCTCCTGGACACTATGGGAGGCACCAGCAAAGAGTGGACTGGGAGCCCAGAATCTGCCTAAGGAGACAGTCTGGATGGCACCTGAGCCTGGGGTGTCCAGAAGAGGCAGGCCAGGAATAGCCACGGAGTGGGGATCAGAGGCTTCTGGGAGGACTGGGACCCAGGGGCCTGCAGGTCAGGACACAGGAGGGGGCCTATGGGGAGCCTGGTAAGATGCTGCCTCCCAGGAAGTCCCCACCTCAGGGACAGGAGGCACAGAGGTCTACAGATAGCCTTGTTCCCTGCACCAGGGACACCCTTTCCTGCCTGGCCTATGGCTGGGCTGCCTCCCTTGCTTCTTTGTACCTGGGGCTTAGGGACGGTGGCCTTACCTTTCCCTGCAGGGACACAGCCCACACTGACAAGCGGCCCACGGGTTCCTCAGTGATCTCCCACCCACCCACAGAGAGGTCATTGAAGGGATCAGGCAGATCCTTAAGGTCATCCTTTGAGGGGATCTGAAATGAGAAGGCAACAAACAGTGACTGTCGTGACCTGGTAACTACCTGGCCAGACACCCACACTGTGCGCCTCAGTTGGGGCTGGGCCCACACTGCTTGACCTCAAGAAGAAGGAGGGACAGGAAGGAGCCTAGACCTGGGACTGCTCTGCATTACCTTCTCTATCAGCCACCAGGCTCGGGCACTGGCCTGGAGTAACCAAGTGGCAGGAAGATGAGCCATGGGTTCTTGGCTCTGGGTTCCTAAGACTGACTACTAGGACTCTATTCTTTGGAGCCCTGGGCCCCAGGCAGAGCCCAGGCACTGCACCAGGAACACAAATAGGCTGAGTGAGGGCCTAAGACCCCCTCTCTCTGGAAGCCACAGGAGTACAACTTAAAAACCAGGTCTCGGCAGGCACAGTGTCCCCTGAGGCACAGACCTTGGCCCAGGCATCCCGGGACTTGTATCTCCTGTATCGGATCCACTTCCGCCGCCGCACACACGAGTTCCACCTCTTGTCTCTCGTGTAGGTGGCGGGGAAGTCGATGGCATAGGTCCACCCCTGAAATGCCAAGGACGGGACTCCGTAAGGCTCTGGGGGGAGAGATTTGAAAATGGGAAAAAGAGGGAGGAGGGCGTCGGGAGTTGGACAGCAGGACCTGAATGTGCGACCCCACAGCAAGCAGAAGTCGGACCCGACAGGGCACTGCTAGGGCCAGCCACACCAGGGCACAGGCTGAGCCCAAGATGACCCTCCCTCAGGATAGACAAGGTGGGTACCAAGTTTACCTACCCCTTTCTCAGTGGGTTCTCCTCCAAAATTCTCATCCACATACCAGTCCGACTCCCACTCCCAGTATGGGGACGGCAGCGCCACCCCATCCAGCGGCCGGTGCTGGAGCCCACTCACGTCACTCCATGGCCAGCGGTCACTTGGCAGGAGCTTCTCACAGAAGCCACCCATGGGGTTCCAGCGCTGGGACCAGGACAGAGAGCGGGCATTAAGTCTGAGTCTGCCAGGAGGGGGCTCAGGCTGGCAGGGTCTCTCAGGCCCCTCCCAGCATCAAAGATTCCAGGTCACCTCACCAAGAGCCAGTGCAAACCAGACATGGTAGCATAGGCCCTAATCCCAGCATTCTGGGAGGCTGAGACAAGAGGATTACAAGGTCATGCCAAGCCTGGAAAACTCAGTGAGTTCGTGAAACCCTGACTCAAAATAAAAATTTTTAAAAAGGGCTGGGGAAGTATCTTAGTGCAAAGGCCCTGGATTCATTTCTTAGTACAGCAAAGACAAAAAGAGAGAGAAAAAAAATCCAGAGCATTAACACAGCCCCAAAGGATAGAAAACCACCCACAGCCACAGAGCTGCAAGAGGGGCAGGCAGTGGCAGGAAGCCTCGAGCAACCTGGACTCCTGGCCAGCCGCAGCCCATACCCACAGACCCTTTGCCAGTCTGGTCTGGTGAAGACACAACCTGGGCTCCAGCCCCCCTGAATGCTGTGCCAGCGCTGCGGGGAGGCTGGGCCTCTCTTCTGTTCTCCTGTTCATCTGAACCCAGCCAGGCTCCGATCGCTTTAGCATCCACCCACAAGTGGGCTGCTACCTGGTTCTCATAGGCCTCCTCTCGGCAGCGGATGGAAACATCACTGGCGCACATGTACAGGTAGACCTGGTTGTCGCAGGCGATGCCCCAGCAGCACTGAGTGGCTGCGCTGACCCGCTTGAACTCCAGCTGGGTGTCCTTGCACAGCTCCCAGTACTGGCCAGCCGTGGACAGGGTGTAGACCCTGCCGAAGAGGTCCACAGCCCACAGCACAGACGCAGGCATGGCGCTGGCAGCTGGAGGGAAATCGGAGGCAAGGGGGAGGAGGGTCAGTGTCCCGGTCTCCAGCCTGGGGACACTGTTGGGGGGCACTTGGGAAACCTTTGCTGTGACTCTCATGCCACAGCTGGCAAAATAAAGTCCCGAGAGAAGCAGGTCATTACCCCATAGAGAAGCAGAGCCTGGCTTGCAGTGTAAACAGCTTCTTTCTTTCTTTCTATCTATCTTTCTTTCTTTCTTTCTTTCTTTCTTTCTTTCTTTCTTTCTTTCTTTTTGCCTTTCTTTCCTCATCATTTATTTATTTATTTATTTATTTTTTAGGGCTGGGGGTTGAACCCAGGGCCTTCATGCTGAGCTACATTCCCAGCCCTTTGAAAAATTTTGAGACAAAGTCTCAGTAAGTTACTAGATTTTCTAGGCTGGGTTTAAACCTGCCAACCTCCTGCCTCAGTCTCCCAGTACACACAGATTATAGGTGAGTGTCCCCAGACCAGGCCCCTTCCTTCATATTATGGAGATTTTAAATTTTGCAAACATAAAAAAGTACAGCACCAAAAAAAAAAAAAGGTAACATATGTATTTACCTCCTCAAATTGAATGCTCATTATCCTGTTATAGTTCCTTCAGATCTTTCTTTTCAAAAATATACCTGAAAGCCAATAAATTTATTTGACTAAATCAGCAGGAGCCACGTTACTATGGGAGCTCCAGGACACAAAGGTCCCTCTTTACTACCTTCCCCCCTCCAGAGTCTCTCTTGTCATTTTCTGTTCCTTCCTCCTCTTTGTGGCCAAGCTGCCACTGTCCGTCCCATGCCCAGGGCTGACACTGCTATTTCCTACGACAAATTGTGGAGACCTGGCTCCTGGTAGAAATCAGCTTCCCACTATGGCAGGGCCACATGGCCAGACCCAAGCAGTGGGACACTACGACGTGGGCAGGGGAGTCACGAGAAGAAGCTGGGCCAGACAGGGTGGCTACCAGACCCAACAAGGGAACACTGCCTTCAGGCCATGAGAAAGGACAGTCAGGCCTCCAGATAGGACACCGTGCTGGTTTCTGGTTTGGAAACCAAAGCTACCAGGTGAACTTAGGTGCCTCTAGGCTGGGATGCCACAGGCAAAATAAGTTCTCCTTTGGAACAGAGTGAGTCTGACAACCACCAAGAAAAATGCGGCTGAGGAGGAAGTGATGAGGAGGAATAAGGAACAGGAAGACAGGAAGCAGAACAGAAGCCAAGTTCTGGGAGACTCTCATGATAAGAAAGTAGAGAATGGGGCTAGGGAGACAGCTCAGCAGAATAAGCACTTGTCTGGTAAGTGCTGGGTCCTGAGTCCAATCCTTGGTACCACAAAAAAAAAAAAAAAGAAAAAAAGAAAAAAAATAGAAAATGGGCAGAGGGGACAGCTCAGTGGCCCCAGCGCCCGCCTGGCACACACGAAGACCTGAGTTCAATCCCTAGTACCACATACCATGCGGGCCCCAGAACCCTGGAAATGCGGCTGACCACGGAAACCAGACATGGTAGTGCATGCCTGTAATCCCAGCACTAGGGAGGCTGAGACAGGAGGATGACTAAGAATTTGATCCACATAGTGAGATCCTGTATCAAATAAATAAATATTTTTTGTTTTTGTTTTTATTTTTTTGTTTTTGGCGGAACCGGGGATTGAACTCAGGCCCTTGCACTTGCCAGGGAAGCACTTATTCTACCAAGCCATCTCCCCAGCCCCATAAATAAATAATTAAAAAAAATTTTTAAAAAGAATTAGAGAAGGCAACAGGGGGGAGAATAAAAAGACATCCTCTCATAACTGCTGCCCGCCCCCCAAACCTCAGGGGCTAGCTTGCCCATCAGACATCTAGAAAATGGGATCTATGTTCAGGGGCCTAAGGCAAGACCCTGGTGGCCCCCAACTACCCTGTCCTCCATGGTTGCTCAGTCCTGAGGGTCGTTCTGGCACCTTCACAGTGACCAAGAATGCTGAGTGTCCCAGATTCACACTGCCAGAATTTGGCATGTTTTGGTACCACCAAAGCTAACTAATCTCTGTTTGCCTTAATTTCCTTTTGCATAGAAATCAGAAAGGGCTAGGTGTGGTGGTGCATGCCTGTAATGCCAACACTCTGGGAGGTTGAGGCAGGAGGATTACAAATTCAACTCCAGTCTAGGAAAATTGGCAAGACCTTATCTCAGGCTGCTCACGATCTCAGCACTTCGGAGGCTAAAGCAAAAAGATTTTGCTGCAAGTTCAAGGCCAGCCTGGGCCACAAAGTGAGTTCAAGGCTAGCCTGAACTGTACTGCAAGACCCTGTCTCAAAAAGACACAACCAACCAAGCAAGCAAACAAACAAAAAAATACTAACTCGAAATAAAAAATAAAAAGGGCTGAGGGATATAGATCAGTAGAATGGCCCTAGGCTACATTTCTAATAACCTCTCCATTGGAAAAGAAAAAATGGACTAGTGAGCTAATTACCTTGTGAGAATTAAATGAGGTAATGCTGATAAGCATTATTCAGTATTCGTCAAGAACTGAATGAGTGGGACCAAAGTCATTTTATTACTTGTCACATGTTACCACACTCTGCCATTTATCTCTCATGTCTAAAAAGCAAAATCAAGTTCCTTTCTGGTCACTGAGTCTCGAGCGTCTTGTCTCACAGCAGTGCTATACATAGAGGATGCTCAAGTAGTGTTTGATGATAACCACCTCCACCCACATCCAACGTGCCAAGAGTCCCTGAGCCTAAACAGAAACACCCGTCCAGGAAAGGGAGATCGAAACTGCACATTAGTGGAAATGTAAGGCACAACTGTGGGCAGATATGGGATAGGGCACTGAAGTGTCAACAGTGTCATGAATAAGATGGGGACTACAGGGGTGGGTGCTTCGTGTATAATTCTAATCTGGCACTTCAAGTGTGACTCACTCATGCAATTGCCTAGCACAAATATGGCCCTGGGTTTGACCTCCAGCACAGAGAGAGACAGAGACAGAGACAGAGACAGAGACAGAGACAGAGAGAGAGAGAGAGAGAGAGAGAGAGATCCATATCAAAATTATAAATTAATCCAAGATAGCTCATAATTCAGTCAGGTTCAGTCTAAGGTTGAACTCAAATAATGGAGCCCCTTGATTTGTGCTTGATACTTTTCATTCACATAAATGACTAAGCATTAATTTCATTCCAGACATAACTGAACCTCCTGGGCAGTTAGGAAGCATGCTGGTAGAGAAAGGACGCGTGGAGGTTGCGTTTACAAACTCCTTTTGTGGACCCAGACACCTGTTACTGCCCAGGAAAAGGTGCCAAGGAGTTCATATTTTTGGCCAGCCACTAGGATGTACCCCAACCCTTTACAGGCCTTGTTGTCCAACCAACCTGTCCTGGGGCACTGGGCCACCAGACTGTTGGAAAAGGGCATGGAGCATGATGTGTTGTGGTTCTGCATCCAGGGATTTCTTTGCCTTGTACAAGTGAAGGGATGGAGGGAACAGCTTCCAAAGAAGCAACTGCTAATTCACCAAGATTTTCTACAGAATGATTCTGAATTGGATGTTCAGTCACTCTGTTTTACTTATTTATTTCTGTATTTTAGGGAAGGGTCTACAAGGTGTTCAATTTCACTACTAGATTGGGCTCATAATGAACCACCTGTTTACAGCCTCCCAAGAGCTGGGATTATAGGTGTGCACCACCACGCCCAGTCTCCAGTCACTCTGTTTTAAAAAGTCCTACTCAGGTTTGATGGTGCAGGCCCATAATCTCAGCAATCTGAGAGGCTAAAGCAGGAAGACTGAAAGTTGAGGCCCATCCTGGCCAGGGTAGAGAGACTGTCACAAAATGAAACATTTTTTAAAAGGGCTAGGCAGGGGCTGGTGAGATGGCTCAGTGGTCTAAAGCACCTACTTAGAACAAGCTTAGCAAAGCACAGGGACCACAGTTCAATCCCCCAGCACCACATGCCAGCGAGCCCCGCCCCTTGGTGGGCTGAGCTGGCCACACACACACATAAATAAATAAATTAATTACTAAATTTAAAAAAAGGGCTAGGCATACTACATAGCTTAAGGCCACCATGAATTACAGAGTGAGACTGTGTCTGAAAAGGGGATGGGGGCTGCTCAACACCTTTCAAGCCACCTGCCTTTCTGCATTAGTTTGCTCACAGATCCCAGAGACCAAACAGTACTCAGAGACAACGGGAGTAGAGGCAGCGAGGGGACAGGCAGCACGGCACAAGAAAGCTTCCCATGCATGCATTTCCTCTGAGTCTGCCTTAGGACTCCTCCCTGAAAGATTACTAAGGTAGTGCGTTTGCTGTTGGTTGCAGGATTGCCTGAAATCTACAACTGGGACCAAGGGAGACAGCAGGGGTTGAGGGACGACAGGACTTGCATCGCAGTTGAGTCCTTTTCCGTAAGAAACAGAAGGGGACTCGCTGCCCTCAGGACCCGGATGCAGAAGCGGAGCTGAGGATGTGGACTTGGAGCCCGCAGGTGAGAAGGGACAGGTCCGGGTGTCGGGAACCGCGGGGTTTCTGTCCAGCCTTACCAGGCAGGAGGTGCCCTGAGTCAGCCTGGTTTGCACCCCAGTTCCCGCACTGGGCGACAGGTGGGCCCCTGCCCGGCCACCAGTGGCATAAATCGGAGAACAAGGCCCTGACCATCTGCCGACGCTAATCCCAGCACAAGCAGATTTGCATCCACGTCTGCCTAAGAAGAAAGCCCCAACAACTCCATACTCTAAAGCCCTGGGGGTGCGGCGATCGACCTCTCCAATCACTCCAATCCAAGAGTTGGGGCGTCATCAGAGCCTGGTGCTCGGTTGGTCGGTCCGCGTTCCGAGGGGGAGAGGGCGCGGCTCCCACCAGCAGCGCTGGACTGAGCCCAGGTAGCGTCCCTCCCTTCCTCTCCCCCAGGTCCGGGCAAACATAGCAAGTAGAGGGGCGCCACTGCCCAAACCTTCCTAGGAGAGCAAGTGCGCCAGTCGCCACGTTCCTGTGGCAGCTGCGGAAAGGGCACCACGAAGCACTCACCTGGACCTGCGCCGCCCGGCCGGGGTGGCGCGAGATGCTGCTCTTCAGGGTTAGCGGGTTTGGCCCTCTATAGCCGCAGGCGAGAAGGCGGGCCGGAAGTGGGGCTTAGCCCCTCGCCCATTGGCCAGTGCTGTCATGACGTAACGATATGGGACATGCAATTGGCTGCTGTCTAGACGCTTTGGGGGGCGCTAGATTTTGCACCCGCCCACTTCCGGGGTCGCGCCAGGTGGAGCTGCAGAGGTTGGATCTACGGAGTTCCTAGCGCTTTCTGGCAAGAAACCCAGCGCTGACCATTTACTGTCTCCGGGACCTAACTGCCGGAGCGAAGCTGGAGATGTGGACACGGGGCCCACAGGCGAGAAGGGGCAGATTGGAGTGTCGGGCAATGCAGGCTGCTTGGACGGGAGGAGCGCCCGCGTGTGGCCCCGGGAGGCCACCCAGAGGCCCAGGGAAATGGCAGGTAAACAGGTGTCTTTGTAGATTCCGACGGGTTGAGAGGTAACCCTCACTAAAACTTCACTTCTAGTTGAGTGTGGTGGCTCAAGCCCGTAATCCCAGCACCCTGGAGGCTGAGACAGGAGGATCACAAGTTTGAGCCCAGTCTGGGCAATCTAATTGCGACTCAGTGAAACCCTGTCTCAAAACTGAAAACAAAAAAGAAGTTTAAAGGAGCTGGAGATGTAGCTTTGTGCGAAGGCCTGGGTTGAACCCCAAGTACTGCAAAAATGTTTCTTAAATCTTGGAAGGAATCTGTAATATTGTGACTGGCATGGCATGGTGTCAATAATAGTCGGTGTAGTGCTCAATCTCTTTTCTGTTACCAATGACAACACAGCCCAGTCTGTTCTAATGATACTAGTAATGTGGGCGAGCTCCTTGCTGCCAGCACCGATGTAAGCGCTTTCCAACCACCTTGTCATGCCATCCTCCCAACCCAAAGAGGTGGGTGTTGGTGGTGTTCCCATGTCACAGCTGAGGTCACAGGCTGAGTGACTCCTACAGTGGGTGATGACCCCCAGGGATTTACACCCACTGCATCTGCCCTGGAAGGAGAGCAGCCAGGCTAGGATGGAGAAGGGGGGCGGAGAGTTGGGGGTGATACCTGCTGAAAGGCCGGGCACAGCTGACACAGAGGCTAAAACTGTCACCCAGATCTTGTTTCCCTTCTGCTGGAATTTGTAGCTGAAATGGTGGGTGATCTTCAGGCCATTGAGGATGAGCTCTCGGTGGAGACAGTGGGACTGTCCCTGTCCTCTTTTCACTTCCGGTCCTTGAGCTGAGTGGTTCTGCTCTGCTGTCCTGTCCCACCAGGATGTGCAGTCTCACCACAGGCTCAAAAGCAACAGGGCAAGCCAAACATCGCAGTGCACACCTGTCAACCCCGCACTCAGGAGGTTGAGGTAGGAAGATCACTATTAGTTTGAGAACAGCTTGGGCTATACGATAAATTCAAGGCCAGCTTGAACTACATGGTGAGACCTTGTCTCAGGAAAAACAAAAAGGAAAGCAACAAGACCAACCAGTCATGGACTGAAACCTCCCACTCTGTGAGCCAAATGAACCTTTCTTCTTTATAAGTTGATTATTTCAGGTATTTGTTACAGTAACGTGTAACACAGCCTTCTGTTTCCTCTTAGTTTTTGCTCCTTTCCGAGGATGTGGATAGGTTCTTTTTCTTGTCATGGCAAGACACCCCACACAGGCTTACTCCAGTGGGGAAAAACAAACCAGAAACCTCATGGTATCCCCAGTGGTATTGTGGCTTCCTGCAACTAACCTTGACTGTAAGCATCCTCCGGAGCTGGCATCATGGACTGAGCCTGGCACCCACCGAAACAGGAGGGTCGGGAGGGCCAAAGGTGACAGTGTCTTAGTCACTTTCTTTGCTGCTGAAACACGTGATGGCTACAACTTAAGGGTGGACAAGTTTATTTTGGTTCATGGGTTTTAGATGTTTCAGTCCATGGTCGGCAGCCTCCAAGTAGGCCATGGCTGGGTGGAAGAGCAGAAGAAAGCTGCTCATGGTGTCGGCAGCCAGGAAGCAGAGAGGGAAGGGAGTAGCTGGGGAGGGAGATAAGCCCAGGCGAGGCACCTGGCGTCTCGCCTCTCCCCAAAACCTCCCCTAAGAGCAAGTTGGCTAAGGTGTGTTCATACTCCAGTCACCTTCCAAAAGCACGTAAGATTCTCTGGAGACATCTGGATCTAAACCATAGTGAGTATTGCCTTGGAGGAAGCCTTGGGTACCCTCAGCAGAAGGAAGGCTACTGCAGAAACTGCAGACAGGAGACCTGGGTTCCATTGTCCATGACACTTTCAGCCATTTCTCCTCTTTGGCTTCAGTTGCCTCATGAAAAGAGTCATTGAAGCTTGGCACGGTGGTTTATGCCTGTCATCTCAGTACTCTGAGGGGCTGAGACAAGAGGATCTCAAGTTCAAACCCAGCCAGAGCGATAATGAAGGCATTGATTAGGCGCTCTCTATGGCCCCTTGCAGTGTTCATGTGCTAGGACAGAGTTTGATCCTGTGCCTCTTATACCTCCAGGTTTTGCAGAGCTGGCTCCTTACAAGTAGTTCCTGTCCTCACCACTTGGCTGATCCCCATCCAGCCCTCCTTCTGCTTTGTTATGTTAACCTCCTTCATTTCCTGTTTCTTCTCCAGTATGATTTTACTGCTTCTCTGCCAGGCCATACACAGTGGTTTTGATCTCCGGGCCATCCCTTGGGGTCACTCAGGTTCTGAGCCTGGTCCTGTCTGTGGGACAGTGACATCACTTGCCTCCTCACATTCAGCCTTCAAGTCTCAGGTTTCTTACTGAACCTGAGGGAAAGTAGGCCTCAGATGGTGGTGATTTCCGTACTGGGGATTGTACCCAGGGACATTACCACTGAGCTACATCCCAGCCCTTTTAAATTTTGTTTTGAGACAGGGTCCTGATAATTCAGAATTGCCCAGGTGGGACTCAGACTTGTGGTCCTCCTGCCTGAGCCTCCTTCTGTGCTGAGATTACAGGTGTGTGCCATGAAGCCAAGGTTAGGTCTGCATTTTGATCCTCTCCTATTTTGTACATTGTCCACTGTGATCTGTTTACCTGCCTGTCTCCCTAACCACTCCTTGAAAATCTGATGTTTGAAATTCATTTTGGAATTTCCAGGGTTTAATAATTGCTTCACTCATAATTTATGTGAAAAGAATGCATAATCTCCCTATTCCCAGATAACCAGTCAGATGTATTCAGAAATGTTGGGAGGTCTTCAGCCAAAAGCAGAGATTAGCAGAAGTGGTCTGTCTATTCCCCACTGTCCACTCTGTCCCTCATCTCCACTGGCAATGCATGTGACTACCTTGGCCCTGCCCGGTGAGGTGGAAGATGAGGACAGGGCAAATCAGCTAACCGACTATGAAGAGCCTTCAGTCCTGAGGATTCAGGGTGCATGTGCAGAACACAGACTCCTAGATGTGGGTGTAGCCCTGACCTCTGCTGGGACCGATCAGAAAAGTGTTATTTTGCTTCTTCACTTATATCTGTCGTGAATCCAACTGGGCCTTTGACAGGATAGCTTAACTCTGACTCAGGCGAAGTGATAGGACAACAGCGGTCCCAAATGTGTTTTCTGCATGAGTGAGAAGCAGTGTGGAGATACAGAGAAGCCAGGCCATTGCTCCTCATGGGCGCTGTGAGCCTTTTCACTCTCTGCTCTCACTCTGTGCTCCTTACTTCTTTCCCACTTTTTTTTTTTTTTTCCTAAGTAGGTGCTTTATTTATTTATTTTATTTTATTTTTTTTTATTTATTTATTGTGTGTGTGTGTGTGTGGCCAGCTCAGCCCACCAGGGGGCGGGGCTGGCTGGCATGTGGTGCTGGGGGATCGAACCGAGGTCCCTGTGCTTTAGCCAAGCTTGTTCCAAGTAGGTGCTTTAGACTACTGAGCCATCTCGCCAGCCCAAAGGCTAAGTTTTTGTTTTTTTGCCGTACTGGGGATTGAACTTAGGACCTTGCACTTGCCAGGCAAGTACTTATTCTACTGAGCTATCTCTCTAGCCCCTCCCACTTTCAATTAATATAAATCTTCACTCTCTTTTCTGTGTGTCTTGTCCAGTTTTTTCTTCAGGATACCAAGTACCTGGAAGTGATCTGTTCAGGACCTAACAGTAGGTAAAACATCCAGCTTCTAGCAGCCTCTTTGATCTCACCCACGGGGAGGCTGTCCACGCGACAGCTGGACCGGAGGTGGAGGTGTTGGGTGGCTTCGGAGCACATTCGACAGCACGCTGGTTAGCCATGGTTAGATATTTGCTTCCTCTGTGGAGGACACTAATCACAAGCAGTTCTCATATGCCACTTTCACTTATATTCGCTCGTGGTCCTTCCACCTTTGTGCAGCCAGTGAGTCATGTGTCTGGCAGTGAGCCTGATCCTCCCAAGGTGGACCCTGGCCAGTCCTTGCCCTTGGCTTCTTCTACCCCTTGTCCCCACGAGGACCAGGAGTGCCCAGTTCCCTGGCTGACCCTGGCTGTACCCAGCTGTTTGGACTCTGCTAATTAAATCAAGCTCAACATTCTCTTTCTTCCTTGTGACAACTAACATGGTTAGTGAAGCAGATAAAAACATTGTGTCCCTGCCACCCCTTAGCAGAGAAAAGTTCACAGAAATTATTCCCTGAAAAGTGTAGTTGCCCAGATGTGATGGTGCCTGCCTGTAACCCCAGCATTCGGGAGGCTGAGGCAGGAAGATACTAACAATTTTAGACTATCTAGTGAGTTTAAGGCCAGCCTGAACCACATACTGAGATCATATCTGAAAAAAAAAAAAAAAAAAGGAGGGATGCAGGAGAGGTAGCTACTGCCTCAGCTGCCTCAGGACAGTACCTGAGCTGTCATACCTGTTCAGTAACTGTGGAAGACTACATCAAAATAGAGAAAACTGGAGGGAGGAGCTGTGGATTTCTACATAAGGGTAGACATAAAACTCCAGGTCAAGGGGAACCATGAAGAAAATCATGCTAGAAAGTGGAGAGGAAGGGGTTCCTAGTACTGCAGTTTGAGAAATTTCTCTATTAAAAGAACTTTGTTAAAATAAAAAGAA